CCGCTCGCCGGGGCCGCGCCGCGCCCCGCCCCCGGCGGCCCGGCGGCGGGAGCCCGCAGAGGCGGGGGCGGGCGGGGCGCAGCCCGGCCTATGGGCGGCCCGCAGCGGTGCGGCGCCGCAGAGCCGGAGCCCCGCAGAGCTCGGCGGCCTTACCCGGCCCCGGGGAGCTGCAGCGCGCCCGGAGCCCGCCCGCGGAGGAGCCCGGACGCCTAGCAGGCAAGGACCTCCGTGCCGGGCCGCGGGGACGGGGCTGAGTTTGCTCTTTGTTATGCAGCCTGTGCCGGAACGCGTGTGCTAGCGGCGGCCGCTGGCGGAGATGCGCCGTGCCGCACCCGGAGCCCTGCGGCACCTGGGGCCGCGCCGCTGCCAGCCCTGTCCCGGGGCCGCTCGCGGAGCCGCAGCCGCGCACACGCCGGGCGCGGGACTCCTCAGCCCTCAGCCCTCAGCCCTGCCCCGCTGCTGCGGCCCCGCGGTACCCGCGGCTGGGCCCGCTGCCCTGAGCTCGTACCCAGCAGAGCAGGCTGCGGGTAAGGGTCAGTCCTGCCTGGGTACATCGCTGTACCGACGCTGTGGGTGCTCGTTAATTGTTTAGTAAGCATAGAGCGCCATACACCATTGCTCATGCATCATCTGTTGTATCTGCACTGCTGCTGTTAACGCCGATCTCTTTCGTTGCTTAAAGGGAGAAAGCCTCTTACTTTCCGTCCCGCACGTGTCCCATCCTCTGGCCCTGGGGACGCGGAGCGCGTAGCCCAGTGGCCACCGTGCAGCTCCGGAGCAGCCCCGTGTGCGGCCTGGTGGTGTACCGGCGAGGTCCCTGCCCTGGGCATGGCCCGGGGCTGTCTTTATGGCAGCAGGTCAGTGCACGGGGCCGCAGCGGAGCGCATTCCACGCTGCCATTCTCCCATTTCACGTCATCGCGTGCCCTTTGCTTGTGTCATGTCTTTGTAACTTTCCCTGAGATGAAGGATTTATGAATCAAAACCTGGGGGAGTGGATCTGTGCGGAGGCTGAGTCAGATCGCAGAAAATGAGAGCCAGGAGCATGCAGTCGCATGGCACATTTACAAACAGGGCTTCATTCATCTCCATGTGCTGCTCCTGGTGCCGCCAGCACCGCGCTGGGTCTCAGGCTGCCTGGGAACACTGTTTGGTCTTCCCGGGGCTTTGCTCTATCACCTCCATAGGATTTCTGTTACAGTGTGTACTTTCCCTGATGAGGTTTTATTACACTGAACGCACACTAATAACAGGAGGAATGTGATAATCTGAATGCAATTCCCACACCCTCCTCTTGGTTCCTATTATTTGATGTGTGAAGGACTGACAGCTCAGGTCCCAGCAGCAATTTTTCCCTCTGTACTGTATGATTTGCTAATTATGAAAACAAAACGAGCCTTCCCCTGAGCGTGCGCCCCTCTTTCCTTCCTATTTCCTCCCTCATCCCGCTAATGATACTCAGTTCCTTCATGGTAATTTGGGAGCCACAGGAATTTGGATTTGTCTATGGAGATATTTCTGCAGAAGCCTCCAGATGCAAAGGGAGCAGTCTACTGCAGGCGTGATGGTCTCAGAGGTTTGTTCCCTGGCATGGAGATGTTAAGTGGGGGGCACGGTAATTAATGCCATCAGCACTGGGAAGGAGAATAAGTTGTGGTGAAAGAAACACATATCTTAAAGTTTCAAATGTGAGATCTAAGCAGCAATTTTGGTGACCTCCCTGATTTCTGTTTCAGACGAAATCAGCAGCCTTGCAGGATGGTGTCACTTTTCATCAGCAGGGCCTTCCCTATTATTCTGCTTGGTTTTAGCCCTTCACTTCCAGGGCTGTGTTCCTCACAGTTGCTTATTTTCCCTCTCTGCTGTGTCAGGTCTTTCTTCTTGCAGCCCTCCGTGTCCCTCTTACCTGACATTATGCTGGTTACTTTACCTGCCTGCCCCTTCTCTCTGCTTTTCTCCTCTCAAGCCTTTTCCTCTCCCTTTTGTGCCATTTCATATGTTCTCTCTTCCTCCCATCTTTTTTACTTCTCCTTCTGGCTTGATTTTTATAACCTGTCTTGCTCTCTCTTTTCTGAAATCTCTATTTAATCACTGAATCATTTGAGTTGGAAGGAACCCTTAAAGGTCATCTGGTCCAACCCCCCTGCAATGCACAGGGACACCTACAGCTCAGTCAGGTGCTCAAAGCCCCATCCAGCCTGACCTTGAGTGTCTCCAGGGACAGGGCTTTCACCACATCTCTGGGTAGCATGTTCCAGTGCTTTACTACCTTTATTGTAAAAACCTTTTCCTCATGTCCAGTATAAACCTCCTCTCTTTTAGTTTGAAACAATTTCCCCTTATCCTATCATAGCAGACCCTGCTAAAGAGTCTGTCCCCTTCCTTCATTTAGTTGCTCTTAAGATACTGAAAGGCCACTCTCAGGTCACCTCGCAGCCTTGCCTTCTCCAGGCTGAACAGCCCCAGCTCTCAGCCTGTCCTTATAGGAGAGGTGTTCCATTCCTGGGATCATTTTAGTGGCCCTCCTCTGGACACGCTCCAGCAGTTCCATGTCTCTCCCACACTGAGGGCTCTACATCTGGATACAGTACTGCAGGTGAGGTCTCACAGAGCAGAGCAGGTGCAAGACTTCGTACTTGGCTTTGTTGAACCCCATGAGGTTCACTTGGGCCCATTGCTCTAGCCTGTCTAGGTCTCTCTGAATGACATTCCTCAGGCATGTTGACCACACCCCACAGCTTGGTGTCACCAGCAAACTTGCTGAGGGTGTACTCAACTCAGTGGCACTGATGAAGATGTTGCAGAGCACCAGTCCCAGTACTGACCCCTGCGGTACCACTCATCACTGATCTCTATGTGGACACTGAGCCACTGACCGCCACTCTCTGGATACGATCTCACAACCAGTCTGTTGAAGAGGAATCCAATCATCAAATCCGTATCTTTCCTATTTAGGGAGAAAGATGTTGCAGGGGCTGTACTCAACCTTCCCCTTAACACTTTTTTTCCCACACTGCCCATTGTCCCACTCTGTCCTTTCTCCTGGCTGACATTTCCACGTGTACAGACACACCCATGGAGTGTAGTACACTCCAGATCTTTCATCCTCCAGCTGAAACAAAGAACTAATTCATGCTGAAGGTCTGATCCGATTTCCTCTCTTTCCCAGCACACGCAGTGTACTGCTGTGTGCCCTTCCTCAGAGACACACTGTCAGGTAGACTGAAGAATTAAGTATATGGGAAATGTTCCTAAATTCAGGAGGGAAACTGGGAAAGTAGCTTGTCCAGCCTGCACTGTAAACAGGAGCCTAAGTAACTAATGTTATTTACTTCACATTTCTAAGTTTTATTTTGGTAATGAAAAGTCCATAATTTTAAATAAGGGACACAGCTATCTATTGCTCAGCACAGGGCGGAGGAGCTGAGGGGAGGCCTGATGGCGGCTGCAGCTCCTCACAGGGAGCGGAGGGCAGCGCTGAGCTCTGCTCTGTGTGACAGCGACAGGGCCGAGGGAACGGCATGGAGCTGTGTCAGGGGAGGGCAGCTGGGGGTGAGGGACAGGGTCTGCACCACAGGGCAGTGGGCACAGAACTGGCTGCCCAGTGGGCTCCGAGCTGCTGGAGTTCAAGGAGCGTTTGGAGAGCATTCTCAGACATAGGATCTGATTTTGGGGATGGTCCTTTGTGGAGCCAAGGGTTGGACTCAATTATACTCATGGGTCCCTTCCAACTCGGGATATTCAATGATTTAAATTATCTTTTGAATCCTGGTCTGATCCAATCTAGGACCAAAAAATGCTTTTCCTTTCCCTCCCCCAGTTGCCTTGTTTTTTATGCATTTGCTAAACCGCTCTGCAGCCATTGTGAGAGAAATGTTTTTTCCTCTTTAGAGCCAAGTTCTGTGTGGGGCTGGGATCCTGGCTTGCTTGCTTCTCTTTTTTTCTGAAGCCAGGGAGAGAGAAGCAATGTGACTGCAGGATCATAGGTGCGGGTGGGAGGCAGAAGAATAGATGCATTACCCAAAAATGCTATTTTAACCTCAGGGGGTGGAGTTGTTTAGTAATATTTCTCCTTGCCTATCACTGCAAACAGCATCGTTGGAGATTGAGGGCAAGTGTTAGATTTTGCTGTTTAAATCAAGCTTAATTTTGAAAAATCTGATTTAATAATTTAGCTACATACTTTTTTTGTGTTTCAAAAAGAATACTGCTGGGTGGCTGGGGCAAACAGAGCTCCATCCCACGGATCCCACCTTCGCCTCCTGGCAGCTTACCTGACTCATAAAGGGAGTGGGGGATTTTGTGTGCCACCTACATCAGCTCAACATTTCCCTTTGTGGCGAGAGTTAATCACCACTGTTGTCATATTATTTCACCGACCTTCCTGAAGATGCGATCTGGCAGGGGTGATTATTTATCCTTCAGACCATCCTAAAAACTTCTTTAGAATAAGTGTTTTTTTTCTGAATTCAGCAAAGACACTCAGGTGGTCCAAGGTTTTCTGTGCTCGCTGTTAAATGCTGGCAGTGTACTTGGGTCTACTTCAGGACCAGGAAGGGGTTCAATTTGCTGAGGACTCATCTCTAACACAAGATGTGCCATTTGGAGAGGCAAGGTGGGTCAGCGTGTGGAGATTCTTCCCCCAGGTAACCCCTGCAGGAGGAGGAAACAGTGGGGCTGCAGCCATGGTGACAAAGGATTTTTTGTTTTGACAGCAAAGACAGTGTTCATATCAGACCAAAAGCAAAAGTTAGGAAAAATGGGCATGCTTTGGGGCACCTCAAATCACTCTTTATAGCCTGTTTATGTAACCTACATAGCTCTTTCACTTGCGGGTGAAGAGATTATATGTAGTAGGCTGGTATTTGTCAAGCAGAAAATAC